TGGGTGAATTTGAAGCATTTAAAAGCAGAAGAAGCAACTCCTTTATCKCATCTGACCATCTCTCTACCAGATGCAGTTGCAGTTTGTCCGGATATTTGTAAGTTTTTCAGCATGAATACCAGAACAAACTATTCTGATCATCTAGTCTGACCTGCAGCGTCAGACAAACCACAGGATTTATGGTTTCCTTGAACCAGTGTAGCCTTTGGAAGGAAAAAGCTCCAGTCTTTAAAGGAAGAATTTTTAATGATGATGATTCTACTTTACCTGACGAAGGACTGATTCAGTGTTTGGATTTTTTTCAAATCCATCATTGCCTGGTTCAGAATCTGACATTCAGGTGATAGCCAAGAAAGCATTTTCATTTCAGAGGAGCAGCTTTCCAATGAACAAGGATGTGAGGAACCTGGAAAGTGGCATATTGCAAAAGCATGCAAAAAAAAGCTCATTCCAGAGATAATAAAATATTAAAGTGATGAGCTGATTCTGAACATTTTAACTGTGTGAGGGAACAAAGGTAGAGTTTAAATGAAAATATTCAAAACTAATACTCCCACTACTTATAGGCACATGTAAGCTGACAGATTGTTTTAGATGCAGAGCATAACTGGAATACAGAGCTAGCACCAAGCAAAAATAAGAATATAGAGAAAAATGCAGCTGTAGAAGCATATGTGTGTTACAGAAAGAGATTTTGTGGTGCTTTCTCTGTATGGGACCATCTACAGTCATAACAGCAATAAAGAAAAGTGGTGTTTACTAAAGCTAACAAGGAAAATAAACTCAGGAGAAAGARCATGGAACATTGTGAAAGGAGCAAACAGTGGCTCTGAAAATGAGATATTTGCATATCTTTAAATAAAACTGAGGGGAAAAAGAAATGAAGTGGAAAAGTTGGAGTGGTGCTGCTTCCAGAGACATAAGAGCAATGCAGACTTGGTGTCACGCTGGGAAGCACAGGATCTCTCAGAAACAAGTGAGATTTACACCAAAGAAAACCAAAATTATGCAATGACTAGTACAATAGTCTTGTAACCTTGAAACCCTACTTTAAAAATAAAACATGAGGAGGAACTTCAATTTGGAAACTGTTGGTTTTAATGTAAACAAGGGAACAGGGGAACCTAGAGATATAAAATSAGGGGAAAATTATTCAGAGAACAGACACATGAGTAGAGCAGTGATCCTTGATAATCAGGGGGCTGGGGCAAYTCTGCTCTGGAGATAGGCTGAGAGAGTTGGGGTCTGGAGAAGGGAAGGSTCCAGGGAGACCTCAGAGCCCCTTCCAGTGCCTAAAGGGTCTCCAGGAGAGCTGGAGAGGGACTTTTGACAAGAGCATGGAATGACAGGACAGGGGGAATTGGATTCAGATTGACAGAGCATGCATTCAGATTGGTTATTAGGAAAAAAAATTCCCTGTGTGAGTGGTGAGGCCCTGGCAYAGGGTGCCCAGAGGAGCTGTGCCTGGATCCCTGGAAATGTCCAAGGCCAGGCTGGATGGGCTTGGAACACCCTGGGATAGTGGAAGGTGTCCCTGCCCATGGCAGGGGGTGGAATGTGTTAGTCTTTATGAACCCTTTCAACCCAAACCATTCTATGATTCCGTGTCCAGAGGAGTTTATGAACTTTTACTCAAACTGGAAAAGGTGCAGTGCTTTAGCTGCAGCCCACCCAGCCCTGCAAAGAGTAAAACACTCATTATGGAGGCATCAGCCAGCCTCCCCTGTGCCTGATCCARCCTCTCCTGGCCTGAGTCACAGGTATAAATACCAGGAAAGGACTGGTTTGGGAAGGAGAGTGGTGGTGCTTGCCTCAGGTGGGGATGAGGGCAGGAGGAAGCCTGGAAGCTTAAGAAACTGTGCAGATGAATGACCAGCAAAAAGAGTGAAAGCAAGAAGACGTTGGGGAGGAAGAACTGGCTGAGGCCTGGAAGCTGTTTYTGGTGAAGAAATGGGCTGGTGGGTGGCAAAAGGGGAAGGAGGTGGCGGCTGGGTGGTGATGGGATGAGAGCAGCATGTCATGTCCCGTGGCTCCCAAAAGCTCCCCGAGGCTGAGCTGGRGAATTGCTTTTGGGAAGTGTTGAAGCTTTGCTGGGGGTTGAGCAGTGAGAATGCCAGCTCTGCAGAGGGGCCCTGGTTTAGCAGGAGGGGTGCTGGGGTGATGGCTGCCAGGCCTGACACCAGCCTGTAAAGGACAGGCAAGAAGTTGAAGAGGCATCTGATAAGTCTGCGGCAGGCTGTGAGGCTGCACAGGGGAGTTTGCTGCTCTCTTGAGGATAGAAATGTCACCGTGGGGACTCTTAGTAGGTGGCTTCTCTGCCTGATGAGATCCCATTAAATATGTGAAGTTCTGAGATGTCAACTGATGCGGTACCACCCACACTGGATGCTGGTGGGCACAGCCCCAACCTCAGCAGGGCAGGAAGTGCCCAAAGCGCTCACATTACAGGAAGTTAAAAACCTTTCAGGCTTGCTCTAAGATAATTTATTTCCACAAGAAAAATCCTGCATGCCAAAGTAATCTGTGAGGGGGTGTCTCATGTTTTTTTCTGAAAGAGGAGCTGTTCACTCACAATAACACCAGGAAAAGACCCTGAGAAGCATCACCCAAGACACTGAGCAGGGTATGTCTGGTRCAGGCTGATTCACAAGAACAGAGAGTTTTGACATTGCTGAAGGAAGAAAAAAAAAGTGGTGCATACTGATGGCTGTCACAGGAAAGACTTGCTCCTTTCAGTGCCTTGGTGCTGCAAAATACACTTTTTATAAGACAAAGGTCTCTTCTCAGGAGYTTGAATGGCTGTTCTTAGCTATTGACAAGCCTAGAGTTGGCAAAATAGGCTCTTGTTTCTCTTATGTAAGGTGATAAATATAAATGTAYTATGATAAATAGTCAATGGAATATAATAAGTTCTTACACAAGTAAATGTGTTTAATTTTGTTCCCAGACAACAGTGACAAAGGGAGGCTGCAGTGAATGCCTTGCAGTGATAGAGTTTCAGTAGTGAGAGGAAATGAGATCTTGTTTCTGAAAGGGGAGAGAGAGAGGCTTTGTGAATGAAGAACAAATCTGAAAGGTGCTGCTTCTTCCCTATTTATGCTCTAATATCAATACAGGGAATTACAGTGGAAGCTGCAGCTGGAGAGGGCACTAGGGGTCACCCCTGGCTTATCTATGTCATCTGGATTTAATTCTGAAGTAAGATAAATAACATAACAGAAAACAAAGCCAGGCTATTCTGATTTCTTTTTCCTTTCTTTCTTTTTTTTTTTTTTAATTGTGTGGGCCAGACAGCTTGCATTTCATTTCTTCATTTTCTCCTCCTGCCTGCCTTCTGTCTGTCTCTCCTTTAAACAAAGCCCCAGGAAGCCAGTGGGTTGCAGCTAGGGAGGATGCTATAGATGCAGGGGACTTGCATCAAAATTCCCTCTGCGTGGCTCCCGTTTATTTAGAGCAAAGGTCAGGMAAATCACAAACACTAAGTCAGTCGGGCAGAATCACAGAGCAGCCTTGGCATGTCCCTGCAAGCACCGCAGAGCAAACTGATTGCAGCCATGAATAGMTCCCTTGTAGTCCAGAGAGTAACTCCTGACACGTTTTGCTCTGCCTGCCTGACAATCCCACGTCTAAAGATCTTTCTCTCCCCTTTCCTTTGCCCCAAACAGATAAGTGTCCCTGACTTCTCATGCAACTGCATCTGATACCTGTGTTTGAAGGAGKATTTGGTGTCTGGGTTACACAGAGAATTGCAAATTCTCTTCTCTGAGACTTTTTTCGACCTTGTGTCTAGGAAGCAACYGCGGCTGTCAGCTGAATCTGCTGTCTGAGTGTTGGAATTGTGCATTTTGAGGTGGGATGCAAGATGTCTAGGGAGGAAAAGTATTTCTTTATGGAGACAGATGATTTATCTCTAGACAGACAGGCTTTCAGGCACACAAGATGTGATGAAGAGGCTGCACCCSCTAGCAGTCTGCTTTTTTTAGCTCTACTAGTTGAAGCTGCAGGATGTGGRTCCCCTTTTCTCTGCAGATAAATTATCATAAATCATGATGGGTTTTGTCGCATGATGTGGCACAAGTTGAAAGTTCACGAGAACTTAAGAACTGACTTGTCAATTCATTGAAAGATTCAGCTGCCAGGAGCTGGGAAACTACAAAGACACAGCTTCTGTCTTGGAAATTCTCCTCATAACCAGCCCTGCTTGCATGCTCCTTCCTAAGCACTAGTTATGATTCCCTTGGGATAAAACCCTGGGGTTGGGTGGTGTTTATTCTGCCCTGTCACACAAGAACAGATTTATGTTCTTGGATCATCACAGAGATGATGAAGCTGCTTGGTGTGAGTTACTGTAGGGACTGATTCCGGAGCAGTGCGAGGACAAATGCAGTGTGAGGACAATTTCACCAGCTGAGCTGTGCCCAGGGCTGGTGGCAGCACACACAGGACACCTCTGTCCCTGCCACTGACTCCTGGCCTGGCCATCAGCTGCCTCTGAGCTCCGAGCTGGTTCAGTGTCAGCTCAGGTATCCGTGGGCTGCAGCAACGCTATCACCCAAAGCTGGAGGAGTGCTCCAGCTCCCTATTTTAGCGTTTTATGTAACACCCGGCTTATATAAGCCTTTGTCTGTTAACAAAATGGGTGGAGTGTGTCTCGCTTGGATTCCTCRCTAAAGAAACGCTCATTACTTAAAGCTTACTCAAGTGCTCATTACATACTTTAAGAATAATTTACTTAGTTCCTTTCCTGCTGCTAATAATAACAYGGCGACTTGACAACCTGTTATGGACAAATGATAAAACATGTAATTCTCCATTCAGTGAACTGCACCTTGGAATAAATGAGGAACGGTGCTGTTGAGGCAGACRAGGGGAAACTGAGACATATCCCAGAGGTGCTTGATGGGAAAATAAGACAATCCTCAGAGGCAGAAGGCGGAAGAATGAGGCATAGCCCAAGCTGTGATCCTGGGTTGTGCTGCTTTCTTCTTGTTACCTCTTGGCAGGAGACAGTTTTAGGGTGCTGGTGGAGAAGGAAGGATGTTCTGGCCTTGCCAGGGTGGTTTGGCCTGCAGGATGTGCCTGGGGATAGTGTTGGTAGCACAATCCTCATCTTCAGGGTTCCACCCAGCATTGTTTCCCACGTGGAGGGAAAAGGGAGGGGTGAGCAGGCAGCAGCCCTAAACACTCTGCGACCCATGTCCTCATCCCAGAGCTCACTGGGACTCCAGGGAGGTCCCACTGGTCTCTGTCATTAATTAAATACCTTTCCAGATCCAGACTTCAGTCCTCCAGCAGGAAAAGGTGGGTTGTATCCTGCTGTGTGGGAATAGTGAGGCATGAAAAGCTGTCAGATAAGCAGACCCTGTGGTAGAGAAGACCACGTAAATTGTTTTCAGAGGGACTTGTTGAGCTCACTTAAACCTGGCATTCACGTTTCTGCAGGGTTTTAAATAGAAAGTCAGTGTGTGCCTGAGCTCAACACCATACGGAGCTGGTTTGCACTCTCTCCTTCCTCCAGATCCTGTGCTGCATGTACTGACGTGCTTGGCATTCCTTGAAGTTTTCTGAATTGCTGAAAAAAAAAAAAAAAAAAAAAAAAAAAAACCCAAAAAAACCCCAAAAAACCAAAACCACTCCAAGCCTCCTTTTTATTTTATTTTCCCTCTTTTTTTTTACCCTTAAAACCTTGCCTTTCCCTACAGCCTGTCCCTGTCCCTGTCCCTCCACCGCTGCTCGGGGCAGCTGCCACACGGTGGCATCCAGGTACCTGTGGAATGATGCATCAGCGAGGAAAAGGGCGGGAGAGCTTGGATTCGGGCATTTCCTCTCCAAAAGCAAGTTTGTGATACAAGAAATATGTATTATTTTAGCTCTGAAGTACATTTCTGTCCCCTGAGGCTCTGAAGGGGTGACACTGAGGAGAGATGTACTGCTGCAGGGAAGATCAAACTAGGAGTGGTATCTCATGTATTATTCCACTTTATTTTTTAACATTTTAAAAAAGTTTTTCATTTACCATTTTCACCCACACCCCCCGCGCCRAGAGAAGGAAAAAAGCCCCAACCAAACCCAAACAGCACGAGCTTTGTTTGTGTTTCCATGGGAATTCTGTGAGAGGAGAAGGGTGTGAAAGAAAACCRAAATATTCTGGCCAAATCTGATAAGGTTTGGATCCTGAAAGCCCTTTGGGGTTTTCTTGCAGCAGCTGAAGTGCATGAGTCCTGCTGTCCCCTGGCCGTGCAGGTGGGGGGCTGCTGTTGTGTCATGGGGGGTATTGCACTGCTGTGGAATTTTGCCAGAAAAAGCGATTTTGATGGGAGAAGAGATGGCTACAACTCCCAGGAGGACCCGTGGTCGTCAGATGCTTCATGTTGAATCGCCTTTCAACAAAACTTCCTCCCCTGCCTGTTCCCTCAAAGTTAGGAGGACAATAGTGGTCCTTGAAGCAGGGGGGGAGGAAAAAAAAGTACTTGAAAATGACATTTCTACAAACAACCCTGCCTTTTCCTTTTGGAATACTGGTCCTCATGTAGCCCCATTTTGGGCCACCTCATTGGGTATGGAAGTGAAAATTTTTAGAGAGAAGAAAAAAAAATTAAGTACAGCTAAATAAAAATTTAAAAAATATTACTAATACCAGCACCTTGATTTTACAGACTGCAACAGCCTCAATCCCTGTGTGACTGTCACTTAAAGCGCTCTTTGCACCAGCACCTCACCTTAAATTGGAAAATTTCACACCCCTGTGACACTACCAGGCATCCCTCTGAGGGATGAGTGGAAATGCCTGAAGATTGAAAAGCAGGCGGGAACAGAGAACCAAAGAGCCCTGACAATACCGTGCTTCTCCAGAGCTTAAGATATTTTCAAAGGTATGTGCCAAGTATCCACTTTATGAATTGCATCTGGGACAGGGAAGGTTCCGAGAAGTGCAGAAAACCACTAATGGATGTGGGCACAGACAGTGGTGTTTCTGCTGGAAGAGAAGATAACTGTGTGTGGAGCACCTGCTCTGTTGTGGCACCGGGGAGAGGGGAATTGTGCAGYGTAGAGGCCAAAAATCTCACCTACACTGTCTGCTCTCTTCTGCAACGCATCTAGCCCTGCTCACTGCCAACATAAACCTACAGCAGAGAGATTAAACAGGCATTAAGTGAGCTAAGGTTTATGGATTTGGAAAGATTTGCCAGAAATCAGCCAGTCACATAGGGGATGAGCACTGGAATGAGCTGTGAGTGGCAGGGCAGGGGTCTGTCTGCAGAGAGAGTTGTTCTTCTCTGTGTCTGATCTGTCTCTGCTCTGCAGCAACACACACGTGGAGAGGTGTACAGACACAGGAGGTGGCAGAGGTCCCCTGTAGCCCACTGGCCTCCTGCCTCAGGAAGCTGTGGGGTGAGCAGAGGTTTATCTGGAGAGGATGGCAAAGATGGGGCATCCTGGGTGCCCTGAGGGATGCTCCCCACACCATCTCTCCACTCATTCCTATTCCATATGATTAACATGAAATCTCTCTGCAATGTGGGGTAATCTGCTCTTCTGGAACACGGCTCTGCCCACCCTTTGGGGTTGAAATGGCAGGGATATAAGGTGACTTGGAACATTTCTCATTGCTTTGCAGAGTTCCACCCTGCTGCTTTGTTCTCTCCCGACACTGAGTGWTACACATGTCTGTGCTGGCTTTTTCCTTGCTCAACTGAGCCACCTTGACTCACAGCTCTCCGCAGATGCTGAGTGTGGCAGTGCTTGAGCCCAACACCCTGAGCTGAAGGAGGGTGTGTTATAATGCTATTGGGAACCCACCTTAGATTYCTAAGTTTGATTTTAGGTGTGAAGCACATCACTCACTCTGGTTTTGTTAAGGTGTTGTTACGCCGAATCATAGTAAACCCAGGTGTGTCCACAAACAAGGCAGGTGCTGTTCTGGTGGAGAATGTGACGCTTCAATATTGCAGAGTAGGGGATAGAGACTGCTTCTGAATCACCAGTGATCAAAGTTGGCTTATTTATTTCATCTACACTTAAGGACTGTGGTTCAGTTCTTCATTATTTAAAGGTTTTTTTTTAAAAAATCATTTAAGAAAAATATCCTGACAACCATACTGAATTCTGCTGTAGAGACAGAAGTGGAATCACTGATTTCTGTGGAAGAACTCACCATGATCTCTCCCTGTACAGCCGCAGCAGTGAGAGCTGCAGTGCTGCAGACAGATTTTGGGCGTTTCACCAGCRCTTAGGGCTGGGTTAGAGCTGGAACCTGCTGRGGATTTTGCTTATCCKCTTGTCAGTTCAATGCTTCTRCAYAARAATTTTCTCTCTCGCTAATAGATAYGCTTCTTTGCATATTAAAAAGGGCATACGGGAAGTAGCACGGTAAATGCAATATGTGAAGGGGAAGACGGCTCAGATCCAAGCAGCACCGGACTGTAATTACTGGGTTGTCTTATGCTAAAAAAAAAAAAAAAAAAAAAAAAAAAAAAAAAAAAAAAAAAAAAAAAAAGCATCGCATGTGCAATTAATAATTGTTAATCAGCACGGGCATTTTCAGTGTTTCCCTGGCCAAACGCAGTTCCTCGGTGACAGTAGGGAACCCTGGCCTCTCCCTTTTGGAGTGTCCGGGAGAACTGCGATAAGCCACACTTGGAGTGTGCAGAAACCCCGAAGTCCCTACACTTTTCGCTTGTGAAGTTGTAATTAAGCAGCCGAGCTCCTCCCCTCCCGCTCACTCCGCTGTTCCCGGGTGCCCGTCCCTCTCTGGGCCGGGGCCGAGCCCTCAGCGGGGCGGGCCCTCAGCGGGGCGGGACGGGGGCCGGGCTGGGCAGCGCGCCAGGAGCCGAGCGGGCGGGGCAGCCTGTGGGGAGGCTCCTTGGGCTGCTCCGGGCGGCTCCTCCGGCCGCTCCTGACCCGCCAGAGGGACGGGACCCGGCAGGCTCTGACGGCACCATGGGGCACCCGCGGCCGCGGGGGCYGGAGGTGGGTGCGGGCGGCTGTGGGCTCGGCGGTGCCCCGGGGTGGGCGCTCAGCCCGGGGTGACTCCAGCGCAGGGCGCCTGTTTTCGTGTGAATTCCCTGCGCGGGCTCTGTGCTGGGGCAGCTTTGCCGCGGGGAGGTGTTTGTCAGGCTGTCGAACACACTCGGGATGGTTTGCGCGTTTTCTGTGCTGTGAAATGGGTGGGTTTGGGTCGGTGCGGTCCTGCCCTGGGGTCAGTGTGGGTGCCCGGGTTGGGAAGCTTGGCGATGTGGTGAACTTGAGTGTCCCCGGCCCCGGTGAAGCCGTGACCCTGCCACGTCCTTTCTGCGCCCGCCGTTTTTGGGATGTGAAAAAACCCTGAGAGTTACTCAACGTGCTGCCACAACCCGTTCTGTCGAGCTGCCGGCCGGGTTCCTTGCAATGAAAGCCTTTTCTGCCTGTTGCTGGTTTCCTTTATTTGGCATGATGCTGTCTAGAAATCTTCAGCCCCAAAGTGCCTCCGGTCCGAGCTGGACCGTGGTTCAAGTCAGTGCAGCTCCTTGGGCTTTGGAAGCGTTGTTCCGGGCTGACCACGCTCTCTGCACACAGAAGGACAATGCCCATTGTGTGCCCAGGTCTCCGTGATCCTCACATCCCTCTTTTCARTACATCTGCACAATGCCTCTCCAGTGAGGCTGTTTGGGGACAGGCACTGGCAGTTGGACGGGATGGATGGAGCTCTGCTGGTTTGACACTGGTGGAAGATGGTSAGTGTGGATGTCACGGCGAGGCCGGTGTGCCCATGGCTGCTGGGACAAAAGCTCCCTGTTTGAGCACAGCGTTGTGTTTCGAGCTGTCTATGTTTGCAGCTCGAGGGGTGGAAGCTCTCTTTTGAGTGTCTTTAATCGCTCAAGAATTCATGTTTTCCCTCCTGTGCTGTCTCTACCAGTTGATAAGTGTGAGCTCATGCCAGAGGCTCGCAGGTACCAGGGAATTTCCAGCGACCTCTTCTCATGATGCTCACTGGAGTGTTAGCTCTGTGGCTTGGTCTCATGGCCAAATCCTGCCCAGCTTTGCCACAAGTTGSGAAGCTCTGAGTTTGAGTCCCTGGGCTGCCTTTTCTTTGCTGCTTGTGGTCAGCCTGCACTGTGTTTACTGTGACTATGCAGAAAGCCCCTTTTTCAGGGTCGCTGTTCCTGTGTGATGCTGAGCACTCCCCAGGGATGCTCAGATCCCTGATCTGGGCTCAGGGGTTGGTGTAGAGCACTGGGATGGGATGGCAGCAGCCAGACCCCCGTGTGCACCTGTCCCTTSCTTGCCTGTGGCTCAAAGAGGCCCTTCCTCCAGTCCTTCTGCAATGAGGTAACACCAAACCTGTAAAATCAGAATTTTTTTTTTTTGCAGTGGGAAATTGTCTGTCCTCCCCCTGGCCTGGAGGTGCAGCACATGGATRAACTCCCATTGCCCCTCTTGGTGCACAGTTTGGCTGGCTGCGGGTGCTAAGCCCTGGATCTGTCCTCCTCTCCAGAAAGGAGGCCCAGGCTTGGTCAGAACTTGCTGGGGGACAGGGCCAAGGTCAGATCCCTCTGCAAAGACCTGTTAAAATTTACAGAGATTGCTGTAGGCAATGGAATTAAATGGAAATTTAGCCAGGGTGTTGAATTTGGTTTTGCCAAGATTTGACTTTCCTAATTAGAGAAGATTGAAGTGGCTTACTTAATTACTCGTTTGTGCTTTTAGTTTTACCATGGTATACAACATCATCCTTTTCAGGATTTTTGAAAATTAGTGCTGAGGCTCTGGTCTTACTGGAAAAGACTTAATAAATTCACTTTCCCCTGGAGGCCACGATGCTCTCCTTATTTTGAGAGGCTTGAACTMCTGCCACAAAAAATGCTGTTGCTGGCAGGTGTCTCGTGAGCTCTCGCAGCTAAGGAAGAGTGTGCTGGTATCAGAATTGCAGCCTTTTTAAACTGCTAAAGATGCTGTTTCACGTGTGTATAAATGAAATTATAAGTGCTGGGTAGGTGACAGTCACTGGTGAAATTATTCTTTCACAAAGCGGGCTGAAATCTTGTTCCTCACCTATAAAATTTTATTACTCTTAATAGTGACAAAGTATAAAGGGTTGTGTTGTCTTGACATTGTCATTCCAGTAATTTAGGAAGTGYTCTTTAGACTGCACTTATGTCTGCGGTGGAAGAGAGATGTTTTAAGGGAGTGGGTCTTATCTCCAGCACTGATTTGAGAAATCTCTTACATAACAAACTGTGCARCCAAGCACAAGTTTGTCCAGCTGAACTTGGGTTTTTACAGTTATTCCTTCTCTGGAAATGGATTTAAAGCAGGTTATCAAGCCKTCAAGGAAAGAAATATCAGGGGAATGCACTTAACTGCTGCCATTACCACAAGTGTTATTCCCTTGAAATGACATAATAGGGAAAATATCAGTTATTAATGTTCATACAGGCTTCTAGTTTTATCTTCTCACTTTGTACCCAGTGCACACCAAAGGAGAAATTCCGTGTCTGAAATTGCTGAAGTCCTGCAGGATGCCATCATGCTCCGTGAGGAGCAGCTCCTTTCTGATGCCTTTGCTGCAACAAGTGGTTCCTTAAGTTCAAGTGATTTAAAAAATAATAGTTTTAGTGACAATCAGCATTGGCCAGTGGTCCTAAATATGTGTATAACAGAGCAGAAGAAGTGATTTGATTTTCTTCTGGAGTGTCTGATGTCARTAAGCACCTGGTTTTGGCTATGGGTGAGGAAGGAGGAGGGCGAGAGCAAACCTTTTGTGCCTTTTCCTSCTTTTGTCTGACTGGCAGTTATTTGATGATGTGTTTTTAACTTGCTCTCACATGCCCTATGAGAAAACTCCTGCAGGGACTGAGATTTGGTCATGATCATTTGCCTGACAGTACTGCAT